TTCCTTTCCTTTCCTTTCCTTTCCTTTCCTTTCCTTTCCTTTCCTTTCCTTTCATCTGGAGACAGTGCAGTGCTGGTGCTCAAGTTTAAATGTGAAGTATTCAAAGCGTACTGAAGACCCAGTTTTCTCACATCTAAGCTGTCTGGGAATTATATAAGATTTAGAAATTTTAGAAATAAGTCCCAATGTACAAAATGGGGGATATTTCTTAGAAATGATGTGATGAGCCCTCTTCTTCAGGCTCCAGTCCTATGAGTACTTGATATGGGCTAAGCAGCATCGAATTGATTGAAACAGTTCTTAAGAAGCATGCATAGAATTGTACTAAATTGGGGATACCAGACTTGGGCTGCGAAAATTTGAATCCCCACTAAGCAGAGATACAAGAAGACTTTAACTCTACACTGCTGCCTGGTGGTTGTCTAGATTTTTACAGCTCAGACTTTCTGGCCTTACTTAAACGTGTGCCGCTAAAAAGAGGTTCTTTTCCAAAGTGTTCTCATATTTTGCTGCCTGAAGTTTGTCAAACATCATTACTGCCAGTTTTCAACAAAGACTTTAAAAAAGATTTTATTCACAAGAAGAATACATCTGATTGTTCTGACTGGGATTTTAGCTGGGCGGTGATTTCTTTGCATTTTTGAGAAGCACTTTAATTTTTGCAGGGTGTTTGTTTTAATGCTGGTTTTATTAATTCTTTGTTCCTTTTATTTTATCCACCTTGGAAGAGTTTTGCTCTTAGAAATATTTTAAAGAAAATAAATAAATAAATAAATAAATAAGTAAGTAAGTAAGTAAGTAAGTAAGTAAATCTTCCCCAGAAGTTTGGGATTAAAATCAAGTCCATGGCAAAGTGGGAGGGTTTTGTTTGGGTTTTTTTTTTTGGCATGGAAATCTAATGTCAGGGTGAAGAACACGGTCACTGTTGAACTGTTGAACTCAACCCATGAAAACCATTGCTTCTGCCACTCTACTTAAGCCTAGGAATAGAAGATCACCCAGGAAAATAAGAGAAGCCCTGCTGGATCCTCTTGCTTCTTAGAGTCACCAACCAAACAGAAATTTATAGTTAACATTAGATTTGGGAAGTACAGGATCAGTAGCCAAGGATTACAGGTTTGGGGATTATGCAACTTGTTATTATCTACAATACTTTAACTTCTTTGTTGGAATTTTTTAAAGGAATGTATGTCTGTCTGATTGATAGACTTATTGGCTATCTTTTCAATGAAATTTCCTCAGGTTGAGGTAAGCTATACGTGAGAAGTGAACATCCTCAGAAGTGTTATGGCCTGAGGCATAATTCACAATGTCAATAATCTTTGGAAAAGTTCATATATGGGTCAGTTAAGTACATTTAGTGCTTAGCTTATTAAGAATAGTGTTGATTTTTAAAAGATAATATTTTATATTTGTCATATTTAAAAATAAAGTAAAAAATGTGTTTGCTTGTGGATTTTTGTAGCTAATGATTCATTCTGAAGCTTGTTTTAGAATAGGAGTTGATAATTTAATGACAATCAGAATAGAACTAAAATCATACACTCAATTATTGTTATAAGGAAAAATTAACATATTCAGGCAGACAGTTTTGTGTTTCTTTGTTTAAAGTTTTTCTGTCATGCCTTTGTACCTTTAAGAGCTCAAAAATATAAAATTAGAAATTAAATCAAAATCAAACACTGGGAACTGTTAAATGAACAATATAGTATATAAATATTAATTAAAATAAAGTCCAAAATATCAAACCGATGTCAAATAGCAGAGAGAGAGAGAATGTGCACTGAGGCATTATATGCAATATTTGATCATTCAGTGAACCAGGAAGGCTCTCTGAAACAATGTTGTTGTGCAGTTAATTCATAATAATTTTCAAAGGTAGTACCTGGATTCACACATTGTAGTTAATGCTGCTTGGTTGGTTTGGGCTTTGCATGTTGGGTGAACCCAACTGAATAAGACTTATCCAGTAAATTAGGGTTAAGCAAAACACAGCTTAGCACAAGGTTTAAGCCAGAGCAGTGGGAATTCCCAGTATTCTTATCATAGTTACTTATTAGTACAATTTCTAGCCTGCATATTCATTATTAACAAGTCATAGAGTAGGAAATAGTTGGAAAAACAATATGATAAAGCATTTAAAAAAAACGATTACCAAGAAGATGATGATGACAGTCCTCTGAAAACTCATATTGCTGATGATAAAACCTCTAACCACCTACATATTTAAAATCATGAGTAGGAGATCAGCTAATGTTATACTAGAACTATGCAGTACTGTAGTAGAAAGTCTATTTTAAATAATTTGGCATTGAGCCAGCACTGAAATGAATCCACAAAACAGAAAGAAGAAGATAGTGCTTAAAGGAAGAGGAAGACAAACCAAGACGTAGATGAGTTTTCATAAAAGCAAAAATACCGAACCACATTTGGGTTAAAACTGGCAGAAGTTTTGGGAAACTGTCTGATGATCAACCTCTTCTACAATATAGTGAAGTTAAGAAAGTTGTGACCAAAATTGATTAAAATGGTAGTTACATCTTTTATTTTGGACGCTATAGGACAATCTGAAATCTATGTAAGTAATTACTTTCTCCTGTAGGTCTCACTTCCCGCTGCAAAATGAATTAGTCACATTGGTGAGCGATAAATCTACATCAGGTTCTGAAGAGACTGTGTCACTATGAAATTGGAGTCTTCTTTAGGGTTACCAAATCTGCACTGCAAAAATTCAGACAAATCCTGGTTGTGAATAATATTTAAGAGGAGGGACTTTCTTAAAAGTCGGCAGTGATGATACCTGGAGATTAGGACCCACTGCAATACAAAGAAAATAGAAAGTGATCTAAATGGGAAGCAGTAGTCCTATAACAGACCTGGCAGACCAATTGGAGTGACATAGTTCCAGGCCCAGCCTCCCCCCGCACCCCCCATGTGCATCTCAGTGTTGACATAGCTGGCACTATGCAACAGCAAGAGGGAAAATACAAATACCATACTAGAATGTCTCAGCTGGATTTTGGCTCACCTGACTGTCTGGCTGGCACAAGATGGCTGCTGCAGTGTGAAGTAATACTATCCATGAATGCTAAATGAGCTGTCCTTGTGCCACAACAGAGGAGCTCCATGGATATGGCTTTAATCTTCCTCAGAGTTTCCCAAATTGCTATATAAATGGGGAGATGAAGTCAAACAGTATATGAGCTCCTTACAGAAATGGAATGTATGCTGTAGAACTAGGGTTGGGTTGATATTCTCAGGCAAAAATCTTCCATGCAAAAGGAAGACCTGGGGGAAAAAATAATAAATATTCTGTTGTTCATATTTCCAAGATCCTGCTTACTACCTGTTTATGAGTGCTTGTTTTCCCAGCATGTTGCTTGGTTTTATACAATTATGAATTTCAAATTTCCTTGATTTCCTGCACGGTATTTTTCTAAAAAGTAATTCTTAGCTGGGATAATACTTACAAACAACTCAGTGGGGATGATGTCCTTAAAATATGATATTGCAATGTCAAAATGAGGACAATAGCTGTTGTCCTTGCTCTGAATTGTCTTTATGACATTGGCTATATTATGATTTAATGAAATTGGTTCAGAGTGAGGGCAGTACTTTTCCATCTCTTGAACTTGGCTATATGGGATCATCACAAAACCAATTCTAGTTCAAAGTAATGGTAGAAAGTATTCCTTTACTTTGAATTGTTGTCAGGGATGCAACATTTTTGTGTCTGCCTACAATTCATTCTCCCTAGATTACCAAAATGGGCTGTTTTGTGAGGTACATTAAAATGTTCAAAAAAGCCACAGTTCACCTTAGCTCAGCTTTGCCCAGAAATGTCTGAAACATTATAGATTATGGCTCATACATTCACTTTGTGTCTAGAGCTCTCCTTTCCATAAGCAGTAG